CAGGTTACAGAGGCTGCGGCTGCTGAAGCCCGTCAGCCCCCGGTAGCAGGACACCCCTCGGTAGGGGGCGGCCGTGATGCAGCAGCGGTTGCCAGTCCTGGGGGCCACAGCTGAGCAGGAGCTGAAGTTCCTGGTGACCCCGCAGCCTGGGCTGATCCTGTAGGAGCGACACGACATCGTGCGGTTCCGAGCAGAGTCTGAGCGGCTGTGGAAGTCCGTGTGGGCGCGCGGTGCCAGGCTCAGGATCCTTCTGGTGGCTCTGATCCTCCCTGGTCCTTTTATTGGTGGGGAAAGCTGGGGTTGGTTGCATAAAAGGAGTGAAAAGCCATTTTATGTTGTTTATTGGCTTGGGGAGGTTGCCAGCAACTCCCCAAGGACTCATCTTAAAGGTGAGCTCAGCAGTGACTCGGGGGCTCCGTAAAAGTACTGAAGATGTTATTAGGGACACTGTGCGTTTGCACTTTTCATCTTCAAAGCTCGTTTACATACATTAAGTAATTAATTTTCTTGCAGTCTCTCTGTGAGATGGCCTCAGCCCACACTGGGAGACGATTTAAACAGTCTGGGGGTGGCTGGGCTTGGGATATAGGCAGGGGCCGTTGTCTCAAGGGAGAAGCTCTAGGGTCCCAGGTTGGGTGAGACCTCGGTGTGTCATTACCTTCATCTGCCTGGCTGCATGCAGGACACATTCTCATGTACGTCATTGTGTTCTGGGGTTGATTGATCAGGTGAGGCCAAATCCACCCTGGCAGCATTGCCTGGAAGGTGGTTCAGGACCAGAGGGGCCACTTTGAGGGGCCACACTCCCTCCACGAGAGAGGGCTGGAGCAGATGGTCTCCTGGAATCTTCTGGATTCCAGGCCAGAAGGCTCTGTCCCTGAGGGGCCACACTCCCTCCACGACAGAGGGCTGGAGCAGATGGTCTCCTGGAATCTTCTGGATTCCAGGCCAGAAGGCTCTGTCCCAGAGCTTTCACTTGTCACCCAGCAAAAGTGCAAACCACATAGCTCTCAGTGGCCACAATAATGGCCACTTGTGGGTAATGGGGAGACTCCCTCTAGCCACTTTCATCCATTTGCCCAAAAGGCTCAGAGAACCCAGTCTTGGGATAACCTGGTGGCTATAAACTTACTCTGGGCACCTTCCCTTTGCTCTTTAGGACGAAACACATCCAGTGAATCTCTCCTCCTTCCAAAACCACCAGCCAGAGAAGGTATCCATTCTGAAGGCCAGCCCCAGAAGTGTCAGCTCTAGAAGAATGTTTAGAGACTGCTCTGCATAACGATGGGAGCGGGATGGTGGCTTACTCTTATCTGAGGATGCTATGATCTGTCTCTCGGGGGCTCTGGGAGCCTCATCCTTCTAAAGTCCCTGCTTCCCTATGTGTCCTTGGGCCACTTATTAGGATAATGACTGCTATTCTTTTAATGTTTATTGGGCACAAACCTTGGGGATGTGGTCTCTGTCCCCAGGGAGGTTAGCCAGACACCTGAAGTGCTAGGAGCTTAAGGAAGAAGAGTTGATGAGCTGCCTTAAAGGACGACTCCTCCTCTAGGGAACCCTTCCAGAAGCAAACACTGCTGTGTGCTGCTGTTCTCCCGAGTCCTCCGTGAGATGCTCTGCGTTCTGTCCTGGGTCCGCTCTCATCTCCATGGCCAGCCCAACCTTGGGTCTCCACGGAGTATCAGGCTGATTGATTTCTACCTCCACAGCCCTCACCTGTTCTTCAAGGGAGGGTAGAGGGACCTCGGGCAGCTGGTGGGCTAGGAGCAGGTGGCCTCACCAGCTGGCCCCCCAAAGATATTCAAGTCATATTTGCTCATGCGGAAGCAGATAGGTTTAGCAACCTGGGCAATGAATCAAAGTTGGAAGACCTAGTTCAAGTGCCAGCTTGGACCCTTCCTAGCTGTGTGGCTTTGGGGAAGGTCTTCACCACTCTGAGCTTTCGGTTCCTTGACTACAAAGTGGAATTCATTCTTAGCTTCCAGGATTGTTGGGAGAGTTAAGTGGGTAATACATGAGAATGTGCTTTGGGGACCATCAAACTTTGTCCAAAGGAAAGGGACTATTGCTTCCTGTCAGAGATCTCCCCTCCACCCCTCGCCCAGCCGAGAGTGGGCCCAACCTGTTCCTTTCCCGCCCACGGTCTTCATCGCACATTTACGATTCTTTACCCTTTCAAGTCTGCTTTTAATGTTTCCTTTACTCTGATTTCACTTGCATAAACACATAGGGTGGAGTCTGGGGGTGGAGAGAGGAGACTTTATTGGGGAAGCACAGGAGATGATTCCCCAGCCCCCACCCCTCAGTGGAGGCCCTGTTGCCTGGGGTGCTTCGGACAGTGAGTTCACTGACTGACTGTTGTGTAGTCCTGGAGCTGGTGTGGTGTGGTCCAAGAGGGATTCAAGGAGGAGGGCGGGGGCCGAGTGTGGGAGGTGGAGGAGCCTTGAAAGTCCATAAAAATCTCTCCTTTCACAGCTCTTACAAACCTCTGCTCTACCCAGCCGAGAGTGGGCCCAACCTGTTCCTTTCCCGCCCACGGTCTTCATCGCACATTTACGATTCTTTACCCTTTCAAGACTGCTTTTAATGTTTCCTTTACTCTGATTTCACTTGCATAAACACATAGGGTGGAGTCTGCAGGTGGAGAGAGGAGACTTTATTGGGGAAGCACAGGAGATGATTCCCCAGCCCCCGCCCCTCAGTGGAGGCCCTGTTGCCTGGGGTGCTTCGGACAGTGAGTTCACTGACTGACTGTTGTGTAGACCTGGAGCTGGTGTGGTGTGGTCCAAGAGGGATTCAAGGAGGAGGGCGGGGGCCGAGTGTGGGAGATGGAGGAGCCTTGAAAGTCCATAAAAATCTCTCCTTTCACAGCTCTTACAAACCTCTGCTCNTGGAGGAGCCTTGAAAGTCCATAAAAATCTCTCCTTTCACAGCTCTTACAAACCTCTGCTCTCTTCCAGTTTGTTGAAGACGATAGAACCAGACCATTTCTGCCTCTCCCTGTGCTCAGGAGGGAGGGGAGGCTTCATCTTGGAAGGAGGCCACTGTGTCTGCTGCTTTCCCTTGCCCCAACACACACACACACACACACGCACGCACGCACACACACACACCCCACCCAAACCTCCAGCCTGAATTGGGTGTGTGTACTGAGGATGGGGACGGGGGAGCCAGGATTTAGGAGACCTGGGGACAGCCCCACTGTTTTCAGAACTGAGGCACCCACCCAGGACCAGCAGGACTATCCAGAACAAGGGAACAAGGGTACGAGCACCTGTGCAGGTGTGGCGGGAGTGAGGACAGGTCCACTCCTGCGCGGGGTGTGCTCATGGGTGCTGAGTGCTGGGTGAAGTTCACATCGCTACAGACAGCAGTGCTGAGCCCAGGGCTGGTGGGGGCTGCTCAGGATGGTTGTCCAGATGGAGCTTTGGATTGGAGGAGCTAGGCTGAGAGCAAAATGGAGAAGGGGGCCGATTCCTTGTGGGGCTGGTCCCAGTGGTCCAGGGCCAGCGAGAAGCTCACAGGCCAGGTTGATCTGGCACAGCTGTTCTGGAGGGACCTGGGCCTTCGATGTATGGTGAGCACCCAGAGTCCTGTGGCTACTCAGTGGGACTCAGGCCCTTGCCCTGGGAGTCAGGATCTGTTGGGGGTTGGGGTGGGAGCCTGATCTCCTCTCACTGGTCTCGTCCTCATTCACTGCCCACCTGTGCCCTATTGGGTCCCCGTACTGCACCCCTCTCACTACCCCAAGCCTTCTCCCCAGTCACACCTTTGCCTGGAATGTCCCAGAATGGCCGCCTCCTCTAGGAAGCCTTTGTGAACTAGTCAGAGTAAGGCTGTGATTTCTCTTCCTTGCTGTCTCATAAAATCCATCTGTGGGGCTCCCCAGGTAACTTCAATTATCCCCTTCCACACCCTCCTATTCTAGGTGCTGTCATTCATCACCCCCTTTGGTCCTGTCCCCTCCTGCCCCCACACCTTTTGAAGGCTCCGCCCAGTGACAGGAACATCACTCGAGAGTCCATGACCCTCCCATAATTTAAAATGCTCCCGAGGCCACTTCTTCCAGGAAGCCTTCAAGAGCTAATTGGGTCAGAGAGGTTCCTCACCCCACCCTAGAGCCCAGGCAACTTCTGGGACTCCCTCTGACTCTGCTCCTCTCTGCAGAGCACGCATCCTGAGGTTTTCTTAGAGTCCCATGTCACTCCTCAGGCCCACCACAGATGGGCCATCCACTGCCTTCGTTTACCTCGGCTGGGACGCCTGTTGGGGCAGCTCACTCTTCTCCACACCGGAGGCTCACTACCTCCCTTCCCTCCTGTTCTTTCTACGGTGCTTAAAATCCCTCCACTTCTAGGAAGACTTCCCAGATCTGTCAGAAGATAGGAGAGCCCTGATGCCTTCCCTGGTCCTGCTGTGTCTGACCTTCAAGCTGCCCATTGACCCTCCCAGTTTTGTATTTGCACCAGCCTGGGCTCTCACAGGCCATTTTACTATGCTTCCCGGTTGGCTGGATCTCCTGAGTCCACCCTGACGGGCTCCCCAGTGACAAGGTCTGTCCTGAGCAGGGCCTTGGTGGCCACCCACACAGCTGATTCAAGTTAGGCATCACCCTTCAACTCTGCTGGCCACACTCTGATTCTGCACCCAAAGCTACCCACCTGCTGCACTGGACACAGCTCTTGAAGGGTCTTCTTAGCCCTGTGATCCTTTCTTTGGCTTTTACAAGACTTAGGCTTGACTCCGAGACCCTAGGGGAGAGGAGTTGAGGGTCAGAGCAATTGAGAAGAGCTGGAGGAAGGAACTGTCCCCTCCCAGTGCATCTTGGGCTGGGTCCCTCTCCCAGCAGGCAAAGAACTCCAACAAACTTTCTCCTTTCCTCCCAATCCCATCCACAGGCCTTCCTGTTGGCAGCTTTCCCTGGTGGCTTTGCTGGTGCCTGTGACTACTGTGGGTCAGAGCAGAGGCTCAGTCCATACAGAGCCCCTGATTTCAGAATTGGATTGTATTAATGGTTTTGAAATTTTTTCTTCTTTTCTTCTCAGCAGTAGAACCATTTCTCTAAATCTCAGGAGGGAAACAGCTATATAAAGCCATACATTTATTTACATGTTTAGTTGTAGAACAGATAAGGTTGATATGCTCCTCTCCCTGCCTGCCCCTTGCCCCCTACA